ATGTGTAACCTGCTGTTTTTGGATGAAGTGTTCTATATATATCTATTAAGTCCATCTGGTCTAATTTTTCATTTAATTCTATTATTTCCTTGTTGATTTTCTGTCTGGATGTTCTGTCCATTGGTGTTAATGGTGTGTTGAGGTCCCCTACTATTATTGTATTGTTGTTGATGTCTTCTTTTAGTTCTATTAAGAGTTGCCTTACAAATTTTGGTGCTCCTGTGTTGGGTGCGTATATATTTATAAGTGTTATGTCTTCTTGGTGGAGAGTCCCTTTTATCATTATATACTGTCCCTCTTTGTCTTTCTTTATCTGTTTTGCTTTGAAGTCTACCTTGTCTGATATTAGTATAGCGACACCTGCTTTCTTTTATTCATTATTAGCTTGGAGTATTGTTCTCCATCCCTTCACTCTGAGTCTGTGTTTGTCTTTGGGGCTGAGGTGTGTTTCCTGGAGGCAGCATATTGTTGGGTCTTGTTCTTTGATCCATCCTGTCACTCTGTGTCTTTCGATTGGGGAGTTCAATCCATTTACATTTAGAGTGATTATTGAGATGTGGGGGCCTACCACTACCATTTTATGTCTTGTTTTCCAGTTTTCTTCAATTTCCTTTGTTTCTCGTCCCATGGTTTAATCTGTTCTGATGAAGAGCTGCTACTCTCTGTTGTTGTCCTTCTACTTATCTCCTTTGCTCTTGGTTTTGTAGCCCCTTTCCTTTTTTTGATTTTTCAGGAATGAGGGTTTTCCTGAGGATTTCCTGAAGAGGAGGTTTTGTGGCAATGAACTCCCTTAATTTTTGTTTATCTGGGAACGTTTTTATTTCTCCATCATATTTGAAGGATATTTTCGCTGGGTAGAGAATTCTCGGCTGTAGGTTTTTGTCCTTCAGATTTTTGAATATATCATTCCACTCTCTTCTAGCCTGTAAAGTTTCTGCTGAGAAATCTGCTGATAGCCTGATGGGGGTTCCTTTGTAGGTTAGTTTCTTTTGCCTGGCTGTCCTTAGTATTTTCTCCTTGTCATTGACTTTTGCTAGCTTCACTACTATATGCCGTGGGGTTGGTCTTCTTGCATTGATGAAGTTTGGAGATCTATTGGTTTCTGTCACCTGAAGATCCATCTCTCTCACCAGATTTGGGAAGTTCTCAGCCATTATTTCTTTGAATAGGCTTTCTGCCCCTTTCTCCTTCTCTTCTCCCTCTGGTATACCTATAATCCTTATGTTGCATCTCCTAATTGTGTCTGATAATTCTCGGAGAGTTTCTTCACTTCTTTTTAGTCTTACTTCTCTCTCCTCCTCTGCCTACAGCATTTCTATATTCCCATCTTCCAAATTGCTAATTCTTTCCTCCATATTATCGGCCCTACTGTTCAGTGCATCTAGATTTTTCTGAATCTCCTCTATTGCGTTCTTCATTTCCAGTATTTCTGTTTGGTTCTTCTTTATCGTATCAAACTCTTTTGTGACATAGCTCCTGAACTCGTTGAGTTGTCTATCTGAATTCTCTCTTAACTCATTGAGTATTTTAATGATGGCTGTTTTGAAGTCATCATCATTTAGGTTATATATTTCATTTTCTTTGGGATTGTTTTCTGTGTATTTGTTATCTTCCTTCTGTTCTGGAGATTTAATGTATTTTTTCATATTGCTTGATGTTGTAGATTTGTGCCTCCGCATAGAGATAGAGTTTAGTTGCTCCTTCCACTTGTTTCTGCTGGTGTAGTGGGGGAGCAGCTGTTTATACTGCACCAACCAGGAACCCTATCTGCAGTTGCTAACTGGGCCTGGGCCCCTCCTCGTAGTCACAGTGGTCTTTGGATTCCCTCTTCTGCCATGGGGGCCGTCCAGGGGGGGGGGGGGGGGCTTCAGGCTGCTGGTGCCTACTGCTGCAGCCCACCTAGATGTGCTCCCTCCTTGGGGTCTGCAACGGTGTTATGGGCTTTTCCAGCGGCCAGGGGTAGGATCACTTATATTTGCCGCTCCATCACTGTCAGCACCCACAAAATCTCACTTGTCCACTATGGGTCACAGCAGAGCTATTGGCATCTTCTACAGTCAGTGGTTAGCTCACTTAGCTATGCTACTTTTGTCCCAGGGTCTTCCAGCCTTGTGGCTGCCGGATGGGTGCTCTCTACTAGTGCTGTGCAGAGGCTTTCGCTGAGGCTGCTGTGAGCCTGTAGGGTTTCCCCCTAGGCTACGGAGCCGGGTCGCTGGAACTCCACCCAGCCCCAGTCCTGTTCCCCAGGAACTTGGGGAGCCCTTTGCCCTGTCTGGGGGATAGCCGGAGATCCTGATTTCAGTGGTAGCTGGTCAGCTGCTGCCCTGCCTGATATTCTCCTCTCTGGGACCCTCCGGGTGTTGTGGATGCTGGGCGTAGCCCCTCCGCTAATGGCAGACAGAGAGTTTTGTCTGCTGCCCGGGTGGAACTCTGGAGCTTCCCCCCCGGGCTGCGGAGCCGGCCTCTGGAACTCCACTCAGCCCCAGTCATCTCCGAGATCTCCAGCAATCCCTTGCCCCACAGGGCGGGCAATGGCAGCTGGGGGTCGCCGTGCCCTCTGGGATTGTCTCTGGGACTTTCCTGGAGTTGTGAATGCTGGGCGTAGCCCCTCCGCTAATGGCAGACAGAGAGTTTTGTCTGCTGCCCAGGCGGAACTCTGGAGCTTCCCCTCCGGGCCGCGGAACCGGCCTCTGGAGCTTCACCCAGCCCCAGTCCTCTCCAAGATCTCCGGCAATCCCTTGCCCCACTGTGCAGGCAGTGGCAGCTGGGGGGCCGCCGTACCCTCTGTGATTCTCTCTGGGACCCTCCAGGTGCCGTGGACACCAGGTGGGATCTCCCCACCAATGGCAGGGCGAGACTCTCCCCGCGGGCTCAGGTGTGTAACTCTAGAGTTTCCCTCTGCGTTTAGGACTAATTGCGGGGGGTTTAGGTAGGGTTCTGGTCACCTGTTTCCACCGTCACTCCTCTAGTATGTGCTCGCTCCTGCCCTAGGTGTGTGTTGATCTTCTGGGGGCATCTGTTGGAAGAAAGCCGCTTGCAGGTACTAGGCTGTTCAGTCGGGGTCGGAGAGTTTTCACCTATCTCCACCTCCTCCTGGAGGGAAGTCCGTCTGCCTTCCGATGTATAGTCGCGTGGGTCTCTCAGACGTCCTGAGATGCCATCTGGATATCCTTTGTTAAGCGATGAGTGTCCAAATAATTGTAGACTCGAAGGGGGAGAGACAAAAAGGACTACTCACAGCGCCATCTTGGATCCAACTCTCCAAACTGAACTTTTAAGTTAAGGGGATGTTGCTATCAGGGCTCCAGAATGACAGATGCCACAGCCAGGGCACTTTTTCAGGGAGTAGGAATGTTCTATGATGGGGGTAGGCAGGTGGTTCTGAGTTGTCCACTGGGAGCAGGGCACAGCCTTCAGAGGAGGAGATAGTGAAGAGCTGGTCAGCAGGCCAGGTTCTGACATTGGACAGGAGGGCATGCTGGGGAAGATCAGGGGGAGGGTGCTGAAATTCGGGAAATTACTAGGACTGGACACCAATGCCAGCACCTGGACAGAGTCAACTATTAAGGTATCCTAGGGCTCAGACCATGAGGACCCGAGATAAATAAACTCAGACAATCCCCAAATTATGTGTTATTCTCATTTCCCCTTCCTTCTTTAGGCTTGCTTTTAGTACCTTGCCACATGGTCCTTCTTTCTGCCCCCTGAGAGACATTATGGATTACTGAGAAGAGAAATGGAGTAAGAGACAGAAGACCTGCCTCAGGCCAGGAGAAATGGGAACAATGTGGGCCCCCGATGAACCCAGACCAGGGTTCTAGCCCCAGCCCTGTCCCTTACTAGCGGTATCATCTTAGGCAAACTGCCAAGCACTATGAGCCTTAGATTCCTCATCTGTAAAATGCATTTGATAAGCCCCATCTTGTAGGACTGCTGGAATGTAGGCAAAGTCGGAAAATCGTGTGACATAGTGACTGGCATTTATTGGGTCCTTAATGAACGGCAGTTACTACTAATATTATTTTGTCCCCAGACCCTACTGCTCGCTCCTCTGGGATTTTGTTTTTATCCAGGACATCTCAGACAATATGCAGCTCAATAAGGAGACAGACTATCAAATCAGGCAAAAATGCAGCTTCACAAATAAGTCACTAAATTCTTCCTGTTAGAGAATATATTAATTTGGGTCTGGGTTAATCTTCCCTAGCTGATATAACTCCAAGTTCCCAGAATTTAAGTCAAAGACCAACTCCTTCCTTCCCTACCAGTTGCTCATTCATCCAAAACACTATTTTCATTCATTTCACTGCACCAAAACCTAGACCTTGCTTAGACTTGGCCTAATTACACTTAAGATAACCTATCTTTAATGCCATTTTAATGGAGCAGGCTCTGGCTCTCTCAGGCATGGAAAAGAGTGCCACCCTAGGGGCTTCTGGGCACACTTCAAGGGAGTATCACCCTATTCTCAAGAAATCATAGCAGATGATGTGTATGGAACAACTATTCCATGCGCTGTGTCAACTGCACTGGGACAAGAGTTCAGGACACCTTCCACACCTGCTCCAGGTGGAGATTTCTCTCTGGTTTATCCAGGATCCAAAAGTAACTACTAAGCAGCTTTCCATTCTAGGCTTTTCTCTCACCTTTAAAACACGCCATCTGAGAGTCTGGCCCCTGCCACCACCCACAGCTTAAGTTATAATGAATTCCCATAGAAGGAATTGCAGTTTCCCAAAGCCCAAACTGCCTTGACTCAGGGCATTTCCACTTGACTGCTTGCATCTGGAGCCCCACTCCTCACTCCTTGTTTTCACTTGTTCTGTAGGTGACTGAGACAATCTCACCATCTTCCCGATATGACGGCTTCCCCTAGCCTCTACCATTCTAGGAGCAGGGGTCTGTCTTGCTTATCACAGTATTTCCATGATTAATACAGTGCTTCCCAAAGATAAAATATCCAATTCACGGTTGGAGAATAAATGAGTCAGTGAGCAGGATCGTTCATTTATTAAGATTAATTAAGATTATTCCTACTTTCTTGAATAAGTCAAGCAAATCCAGCTGTGTATCTTTCAATTTTACAGAACAACAGACTAAAGTGGTTGAGGGAATCCAAAAATTAACCAACTTTTACATTTTTTTCTCTATTTCCTGCTGAGTTCTTTTACATTTCCAAGGCAATTCTTATTCCAACGTCAGGTTATCTTGTTCCAGATCACAAAAGAAGATGGAAGGTTCTCCAATTTGTTTTACAAATTATCAAAACTCTCATTCTTAAACCTGATAAAAAGCAATAAATGTGTCCAGTGTCATTCATAAACTTAACATTTTAAAGCTAATAAATCTGCTAAAAGTAACAGCATTTAAAAAATAACTAGAAAGATGCACAATTAAAATATACAACTATGTACTGGGGGGCTTTGGGGAGAAAAAGAAGAAAAAAAGAGAAGATTGGCAACAGCTGTTAGCTCAGGTGCCAATCTTTAAAAAGATAACAATAAAAAATATTTTTTAAAATATCAAGAGGAAAAAAAAAGATAAACCTTCAAGTCACCCATAGAGAACAGGAACACAAAGCTGTGTTTTCCCAGGGTGACCCTGACGCTCTTCTACTCAGAACTTTCACTGCCCTTTTCAAAGAGAGTGAAGATGTGGTTTCATTCTTCAGTTGGGGCAGGAGAGGCTGCTGATCGTTGCTGTGCAATGAACATGGCAGTAGTAGTATCCCCGGGGCCAACTCTGGGCCGGGCTCTCTCTTCCTCATCTCTTAATGCGTCTTGATACCAGAATGAGAAGGAAATGGGGTCAGTCCCTTTTATCTTGGCCAAAAATTCCAGAACTTTCCTCTTGCTGGTTTCGGCATGGGCCCTTGGACCCCACAGGAATTCGTAGCGTGTAGGATCACTATTAGGCACCTGCCGGTACTCCAGGTAATTCTCCTGCACCCAATCTCTGGTAATGAGCTTCCTGGGCTCCCCATAAATGAAGTGCTCCTTCCCAGCATACACTCCCATCATATTCAGGAACTCCCAAATGTCCTCCTCACGGGCACAGTCGCCCTCTATGAAGATCACACACAGGATGATTAACAGCAGGCCGTTTTTAGGCAGGCTCTGGTTGTCACTAAGTATCTCATCATGGGTGAGGTCCAGTGAGTTGACAAGGACATAGGAGTGGATGGTGGGGTCCACTTCTTTCACATCAATGCCAGAGATCACCTCCAAGCACTTAGAAGCTTTCTTGAAGATCAGAGAGAATCGTTTCTTGTACCTCTTGATGACAATCTTCAGCATTTCTGCCTTTGTGATGGGCTCCTTCAATCGATACTTGAGGATCATGAAATGCACTAAATCAGTCACCTTCTCATCTAGCCAGTCCCTGGGCAAGGATTCAGTATCTGCTGAGGTCTTCGAGGAGCTCGTGTCTTCCTCTCCTTGGCTGCTGAAGCCTCCGTCTGATGTGCTCCATGAAGTGGAGGAGAAGGAGCAGGAGCTTGGAGGACTCTGATGAGGACTCAATGCCACAGTGGCAGGCTCCTCCCACTTTTCCTCTTTCTCCCCCTCCTCTTCCTTTCCCTTTTCTTCCTCCTGTTCCTCTTCCTCCTCCTCCTCCTCTGTGCTGCTTGGGATCACAGGATAGGAAGGGGGGGAGGAGGAGGTGGAGGGGTAGGAGAAGGTGAAAGAGCAAGAGGAAATGGAGGAGATATCATCCTCCTCCTCAGCTGTGGAAACATGTGCTACTGACAGGTTCTGTATCTCATTTTGGGCCCAAAAGTCTGGCTCAAATGTGAGGCATGGATGCTTTGGAGCGTCAGACATGATGACTCTTGTTGGAGGCAGCAGGTAGAAGTGTGAGCAGGATGCTGGGCGATGAGATCCCACAGGCCTAGGTGAGAGAGGGAGAGGGTCAGCAGCCTCAGCAGTGAAACACACTCTTGGCAGCTCTGACAAAGGCCAACTAGAGGTCTCCTGTATGCAGGGTGCCCTCGGGGCTTACAGAGCTCCTGTCTTCCTGGACAGTTTGTCCTCTAGGAACCTGCAGGAGGATGTGAGAAAGTTCCTCAGGGTTCACCAGCCAGTACAGTCCAAGGCTTCCAGGGTTGACTGTGGGCCAGTGGGGTCAAGCACATGCAGTTCCTTCTGTTCTGGTGTGGGTGGAGTCCTTGGTAGACATTCAGGGGGTGTACCTCACCCTTGACTCCTAGCACTGCCTGGACCTCCTCCGCTCTGCTCACTTGACAACATGTACTTGACACCAAGGCCCTCACCTCATTGTTCCTGGAACCCCTGGCACGTGAGGAGGGGCTAGGCTGTGAGGCATCCACAGCTCTGGAGTGGCTGATCCCCTCTGTGCTCACTAAGTTTCACACCTTTACCCTCACAAGGCCTGCCCTCCCCACCCCAACCCACCTCTGCTAGCCTTAGCCAATGAGCAAGAAAGCAAGAGCGACTCATTCGACCACACCTACTCAGGGCCTCCTAGGGTGACAACAAGGGCTGGCTGAAGTCTGTGGGGATCCCTCTCTCCTGGCTGAGAGTTACCCTCATTCCTCACCTTGATGCATGGTAGGGCCTGGGAAACTTCCCTCTGCTGTCCTGAGCCCAGCCCCTTCAAAACAAGCCCTCACCTCCCTGAGAGCACCAAGAAGGAAGTGAGGATGCACCATATCTGGCCACTGTGCCCCAGGGCCTCCCAGAGCTGACAGCAAGGGCAGGGTAGGGCTGAGTATGCCTTCACTGTTGGGTGGGGGTGGGCCCTCAGTCCTCACTCAGGGTCCTTACCTGAAACCCTGGCAGAGTCTGGGACTCCTCCCTCTGCTGACCTGATGTGGCTCCCCCTCAGACCGCTGCCTCAGCACAAGGCCCTCACCACCCTGAGAACTTCTGGACAAAAGTGAGGAGGCACCACATCTTGCCACTGCTGCTAGGTCCTTCCAGGGCTAAAAGCGAGGTCTGGGCCCCACCTGTTCTGTGGTGCGGCCATGTTCAATCCTCCCTTGTTGTATTCATCATTACTTCTGGCAGGGCCTGGGCCACCCCCTGCTCACTGGACATCGCCCCCTCAGACCATGACCTCACCTCTCTGAGACATCTCCCTCACCCTAGCAGAAAGTGAGGGCATACCAAATCCAGCTGACCCTTCCTGGGTCCTCCCATGGCCGAGAACAAGAGACAGCCAGACTCTATGTGGTCTCTTCTTTCTGGGGTGGGAAATATCTTTGGTCCTCACCAAGGGTCCTTACCTTGACTCCTGGTAGAGCTTGGGACTACTCCCTCTTCTGACCTGATGTGGCTCCCTCAGCTGACCTGTCTTCACACTCAGACCAAGGCCTTTGCCTCCCTGAGACACTCGAGACAAAAGTGAAGAGACGTCACATCTAGCCACCCCTGCCTGGGGTCTCCTAGGGCGGACAAAGGGGCTGAACCCCATCCGTTCTGGGATGAGGGGGTTCCCTCTGTCCGCCATTAAAGTATTCTTGACTCCTGGCAGGGCCTGGCTTCACCTCCTCTGGTGACCTGAAATCACCCTCTCAGATGAAGGCCTCACCTCTCAGAGACACCTCCACCCACCCCATGCAGGAAGTGAGAGCAGACCACACCCAGGCATTTCTGCCGAGATCCTTCCAGGGTAGACAGTGGGGACAGGGTGGAGTTTCTGTGAGGCCCCTCTGTCTTGGTTGAGGGATACACTTAGTCCTCCTTCAAGGCCTTACCTTGTCTTGACTCCTCACAGATCCTGGGACTCCTCCCTCTGCTGATGTCACCAGTTCAGACCAAGGTTTTCACCTCCCCGGGACACTCCAGACAGAAGTAAAAAGACACCAAATCCAGCCGCCTCTGCCTGGGGTCTGTTCTGGCCCAGGGAATACCATGAACCCTCCCTCAAGGTTTTCATCTGTACTTCTGGCAAGGCCTCTCCTGCCCCCTGCTGACCTGAAGTTCCACCTCCAACCAAGACCTCACCGCCCTGAGACTCTCCACCCTCTTGACTCCTGGTAGAGCTTTGGGCAGAAGTGAGAGCTCCTCCCTCCGGGCCCCCTTCCCAGACCCTCCCAGGGCCTTCAGGCCTCACCAAGGGTCCTTGACTCCTGGCAGAGCCTGGGACTCCTCCCTCTTCTGAACTGATGTGGCTCCCCCTCGGACTGTCACCTCCACAGACCAAGGCCCTCACCTCCCCCAGACAAAAGTAAGAAAATGTCACATCTGGCCAACCTTGCTTGTGTTGCTTGCTTCCTTGTCTCCTCGGGTTGGCAGGTGCGGCAGGGCCGGGGTCCCCTTTCTCTAGGATTTGGGTATTTTCAGGTCACATCTACCTGGGGTGTGAGGTCCTCTCAATCCTCCCTCACTGTTCTCTCCTTGATGGCTGGCAGGGCCTGGGACTGTACTCTTTAACCTGAGGTCACACCCCTCGGAAAAAGCCTCACCTCCCTCAGACTCCCAAAGTGGAAGTCAGGAAACATCACATTTGGCAACCTTGCCGTGTGGCTTCCCAGGGCTGGCAGCAGGGACAAGTTGCTGTGAGACCTCTCTCTATGGGGTGAGAGGTCCTCTAAATGAGTCTTCATCTTGACATCTGGCAGGCTGTGGTACTCCTCCCTCTGCTGAACTCCGGCCCTACCTCTCAGACCAAAGTCTTCACCTCCCAGACACCCACCCCCGACCCAGAAGAACGGGAGGGGGACCACGGCCAGTAACCACGCCCCTGGCACGCCTGTGTTGACAGCAAGGGCAGAGAACCTTCGGGCCCCATGTGTTCTGGTGCAGGGGGTGCCCTCAGTCCTGAAACTGACCCTGGGTAGGGCCTGGGACTCCTGCCCCTGCCGATCCACCCTCACCCCTTCAGACCCAGGACCTCACTCCCCTGAAAACCTCCAGATAAAAGCAGAGGCCACATCCCGCCACTCCCACCAGGGTCTCCTAGGGCTTGACAGCAGGGACTGAACCCCATCTGTTCTGCAGCAGGAGGCATCTTCTGTCCTCCTGCTGGGTATTCCCATTGCCCCCCACACGAAGGCCTCGCTTCCATGAGACAAGCCCAACCGCTTCCTGGAAGAAGCAAGGGAGCACCGCATCCGGCCGCCCCTGCCCGAGTCCTCCCGCGGTCGACAGTGGGGGCAGAGTGGGGTTTGGGGGCCTCTCTCTCTAGAAGGTGCCACCGTCCATCCTCAAAGTAGTCACACTGATTCCCCACGGGGCGGCACCCTCTCGCTTCTGCCGACCTGATGACGCTCCCTCGGCCCACCCCGCCGGCTCCCTGAGAACCGGAAACGGAAAGCAGGGCGTAAGGAGGGGCTCCTGTGCTCTCAGCCCGCCAAGTCGGGCTGACACGAGGGCTTCTGCGGGGCCCGCTGTCTGGATTGGCAGGTCCCCTCCCTCAGGGTCCTCATCTTGAAGCCGAGCAGGGCCCAGGCCTCCTCCCTCCACAGAGTCCCCCCTCAGACAAAGCCTCAAGGGTGGCCCGCTGGCACAACGCTTAAGTGCGCACATTCCGCTTCTCGGAGGCCCCAGGTTCGCCGGTTTGGATCCCGGGTGCGGACATGGCACCGCTTGGCAAAAGCCACACTATGGCAGGCGTCCCACATATAAAGTAGAGGAAGATGGGCACGGATGTTAGCTCAGGGCAGGCTTCCTCAGCAAAAAGAGGAGGATTGGCAGCAGTTAGCTCAGGGATAATGTTCCTCAAAAAAAAAAAAAGGAAAAGCCTCACGTCCAGCCTGAGGCTCCTGGGGATGACAACAGGGGCACAGCTGAGGTGGCCGGCTCCCACTCTCCGGTGAGCTCTCCTCTCATTCCTCCCTCAGGGTCCTCACCTTGCAGCCTGGCAGAGCCTAGGGCTCCTCTCTTGTGACCAAACCCTGCTCCTCAGACAGAGCCTCACCTCACTCACACTCCCAAGATGAGTTCCCACGCCACATCCGGGAATCCCGCCCCGGGCCTCGCACAGACTATGGCAAGTGCCCCTACATGCAGTGGGCGGTGCCTCCACGCCTCCCTCAAGGTCTTCTCCTTGATGATTGGCCAGGCCCAGGACTCCTCCCTCTGCTGAGCTGAAGCCCCACCCCTCAGACTCCGGAGATCCAAGTCCGGAAAAGGAACAAACGGAACATCCGAGCACCCTGCCTGGCCCTCCTGGGGCTAGCGGAAAAGGCAAGGCAGGACTGGCGCTCCTTTATCTGGGTTAGGAGCTCCCCTCACTCCTCCCTGTGGGCCCTCACCTTCCGTCCGGCCACGCCGCTGGCCCCTCCCTCCGCTGACCTGAGTTGGGGCCTCAGGCGCAGCCTTCCGACCCTCAGACCCCGAGTGTTCAGCAGGAGACACGTCACACAGAGCACCTGGGCTTGGGGTGTTCCAGGACCGACAGCACAGGCCGGGCTGGCTCACTCGGTGCTGGGCGCTCTCCCTGCAGTCCTCCCTCAGTGTCCTCACCTTGCAGCCTGGCAGAGCCTAGGGCTCCTCTCTCCTGACCTAAGCCTGCCCCTCACACAGAGCCTCACGTCGCTCAGACTCCCAAGAGGAAGGTCCCCACACAGCACATCCGGGAACCCTGCCTGGGGTCTCCCAGGGATGACGGCAGGGGCAGGGTGAAACCGGAATCCCTCCGCTGGGCCAGGGGTGGCAAAGGTACTCAGTCTTAGCTCGGAGTTCTCACTTTTGGGACTGCCTGGGTCACTTCTCTCTGTTGACCTGAGTTCCTGCGCTCCAGAACATGCCCCTCTCCTCCCTGAAAACATCAAGGTTTCGCAAGTGAGGGAGCATCATATCGGCCACTATGAGCCAGGGCTACGGAGGGTTGACATCAAGAGCAGGGCAAACTACACCCCCTGCCCCCATCTGAGAATGTAGGCATACCCTCAGACGTGTCCAAGATATTTGTATTTACTCCTGATAGGGCTTGCATTCCTCCGTTTTGCTAACCTGATGATGGGTCCCTCAGTCCAAGGCCCCCATTTCTCTGAGACTCCCATTCTCAAAAGAGGACATGGGGGGCGGTGTTCTGCCTACTTGGGGCCTTCCATGCTGACAGCATGGGCAGCTTTCTGTGGGTCCCTCTCTGCGTGGAAAGGGAGTCTCTTCAGTTCTCCCTCAAGATTCTCCTCTGGATGCGTGGCAGGGCCTGGGCACCTCTGAGCAAGGTCCTCACCTCTCCCTGATGCCCTAGTGGGAAGTCAGGGGAGGCCACATCTGGCCACGTCGCTCTAGGGCCTCTCAGGACTCAAAGCAGATAAAGGGCTGGATTCTGTGGTACATCCTCTGTCTGGGTCAGGGTTCTATTTGGTCCTCCTTCGGGGCCCTCATGTTGATGTCTAGCAAAGACAGATACCTCCCTTCTCATGACCATAACCAGTGACCATGCCCTGGGGCTTCTCAGGGCTAACCACAAAAACAGGGCAGGGCTGGAGTCCGTTTCTTCAGGCCCTCAAATCCTCCTTGAGGTCCTCACCTTGGTAACTGGCAAGGTCTAGACTCCTCCCTCTGTTGACCTATGTCTGTCACCCTCAGACCAAGGCCTCCTTTCCTGAGACCCCCAAGCTGGAAATGAGGGCGGGGTGCTCAGCCTGAGACCCCTGCCTGTAGTCTCCCAGGACTGACATCAGCAGTGAAGCAGGATTCTGTGGGGGTACCTTCTGTTCTGGAATGGGTGGACCCCTCAGTCCTCTTTTGAGGGTTCTCATCTTGTATCCTGGCTTATCAATTGAATGCTATGTGGGAAATTATCCCTCCCTGCCAGCTCTGACCATTTGCTTAAGCGCCACTCTTACACAGAATGGTTTCAGTTTCCAGGCTAGATGCTGGGTGGGGGAGTAGCAGCACTCATGACAGAGAAAAAGCACAACTTCCCATAGGGTCTCTTCAACAGCCAGACGTAGACTTTGGAAACTTTTTATTGCAAAAGATTTATTTTCTACTTGGAATAGGCTAAACAGCATTATTTTGGGAGGTCCTGCCTGTTTGAAGCTTATCTAACATTACATTGTCTGATGTAGTGATTTTTTTATAAACCTCATTATTAGTGAGAAATATGTTGTATATTGTACATCTCTACCAAGTGTATATGTAAAATATATATTTTTAATATACAGTTCATGAAAGGATACTACCCTTACTATGGGTAATTCATTGTGATACTATTCCATTTTTAGTCCATTCTTTATATTCTGCCAAAATAATGTTTAAAAAGATAAGAACAGTCCTTACCCACTAGAGTGGTTTCAGGTGATTATTAGCAGACTCGAGTCATACTGCCTCAATCAACTTCATCTTTCCTGCTGTCCTGCCATTACCCCAGGGCAACTAGCATTTGTGGTCAGAGGTGCAGCCTCAGATTTCCTCAATGAAGCAGGAGCAGAAGTTTAAAAGCTTTGCTTCTCTCTATCCTGTCATCTGCCTTCTATTACAAGCTACAAACTCTCCCCAACTTCTCTTAGGCCCAGAGTTCCCTCACTCCAAACACAAGTACTAGTTCAACACAGTCCTCAGTCTCCCCTAGAGATTTCTTATGTTTTGTTTAGATTTTATTGTTATTTTTTATTCTCCCTTCTATGGTTTTCCAGGCTTGATTTTGGGAGAAGACAGCAGCCCAAACTCAATTGTCATCTTGGAAGCTATAGGTAAGGCACTAAATCTGTAAATAAGAATTGACATCTTTACAATGATGTGTATTTCTTCAATGATTATTATATACTGCCCTGTGTATTTGAGATTTATTTTACCTGAATCTATCAGTAAACTTTTATAGTTGTCTCCAAAAAGATCGCATACATTTTTGTGATGATTCTTTTAAGGTAATTTTTAGATTTTGTTGCTATTGTGAATGGGATATTTTCTATTACATGTTCTAATTAGTTATTTATGTGGCAAGTCTCTTGCTTTTGCTATAGTGAATTTATTCTATCTTTCTGAGGTTTCTTATTCATTTGAATATTCCACACGTTTATTCCTTAGAACTTTCTACATAGGTGATTGTATTACCACCAAATAGTATCGCTTTCTTTTCAATATTCATACCTCTTATTTTTATATCCACAGATCTGGCATTGTGTTCTAGTGTAGTTTTGAACGTAGAGGTGATAGCATATATTTATGTCTTTTCCGTGACTCTAATAGAAATGCTTCTAACATTTCACATTAAAGTATGTTTGCTGTAGATTTTAGGAAATGGAAGTTCCTTTGTAGTCTTAGTTTGCTAAAAGATTTCCCATGAACTTGTATTGAATTTCTTTCTAAGGTCTTTTTCTGTACCCACTGATGTACTCAAATGGTTTTTTTTTTCCCTGTTATGGGCTGAAATGTGTACCGTAAATTCCTATGTTGAAATCCTAAACCCCAGTAACTCAGAATGTGACTGAATTTGGAAATAGGGCCTTTAACGAGGTAATTAAGGTAAAATGAGATCATAAGGATGGGCCCTAACCCAATATGACTGTTGTCCTTATAAGAACAGATTGGAACACAGATACACAGAAAGGGAAGGCCCTGGGAAGACAAAGGGAGAAGACAGCTATCTGCAAGCTGTGGAAAGAGACCTCAAAAGAAACCAATCCTGCCAACACATTGGTCTTGGACTTCCAGCTTCCAGAATTATAGGGAAATAAATTTCTGTTGTTTAAGCCACCCAGTCTGTGGTACTTTATTATGGCAGTCCTAGCAAACTAATACACTCCTTTAATTTGTTGATGTAAGGAATTATAACTGAAAGTATTTTCTAATGTTAACTCATGTTTCATTCTTCAGACACAGTCTGTTTATTCATTTAATTCGCTGCTGTGTTGAATATGCTATTAATCTCTTTAAGACATTTACTACTATGTGAATGAGCTTGGCTCAAGTATTATTTTCATGGGGAGTCCACATCTGGTTTTTGAATCAAGGAGAGCTAGCCTGGGAGAAATAGTTGAATAATTGCATATTATTGTGTATGCTTTAGAAGAGATTGCATGAGGTGGTGATTTAGGTCTCCCGGACCATTTGGTAGAACTGGCCTTCAAAACTGCCTGTCTGTCCTGGAGCATTTAAGAGTGGGTTGAGCTTTGAATACAGTTTCAGTTTGTATTGTTCAGTTAGAATTCTCTATTTCTTTATGAACCAATTTGGTCATTTTTTTTCTAAAATGTGGTCCATTTCACTCAGGATTTCAAATGTAAAGGTATGATATTTATAATAAGAACTTTTTATTACAGAAATTGTAACACATACACGCCAATAGAGAGACTAGTATAATGAACCCAATATGACTGATACTCAGCATCAACAATCATCAATGCATGGCCCATCTGGTTTTTTTTTTTTTTAAGGAAGATTAGCCCTGAGCTAACTACTGCCAATCCTCCTCTATTTACTGAGGAAGACTGGCCCTTAGCTAACATCCATGCCCATCTTCCTCTACTTTATATGTGGGATGCCTACCACAGCATGGCTTTTGCCAAGCAGTGCCATGTCCACACCCGGTATCCGAACCAGCAAACCCCGGGCCACCGAGAAGTGGAATGTGCACACTTAACCACTGCGCCACGGTGCCAGCCCACATCTGGT